TAGGAGGGACAAATTGTAATTGAATAATCTCGAGTCCTTCAAATGGTGATAAACCTTGCTTAAGCGTTGAAAATTATCCACCATTTTCATGAGATGACAATTTTGGAAAGTGAACTGACTGCAGTTTAAGGCAAATTCAATACTCATTTGACGTGAGGTACTTTGGACTCTCCGGTATCAACGTTTTGATTTCCCAAGACCCCACTGCATGCCAGTACTCACCTCACCTTTTCTCCCTACCTTTGTGTCTGTCTCTTTTACATCTTTGAAACACTCTTCTGTTCCCCTCTCCCCCTCTCGACCTTTTTCACTTTGATGTTCCTCCTTCCCTCTGTGAAGCCTGAAGTCAACTAAAGAGCTAATGATAATCATCAAAACGTCTGCCATTTGGGATAAATAAATAACCTCTTATTAGACTTCAATGTCAACTACTTTAAGTCACTTTCCCTTGATGATAAACTGTAGGTAATATTGTCAGTAAATTCGAGCATCCGACTTCAAACAATAAGAGTCATCATGAATAGCTGAAAATACTCTACCTGCTCTGCTTCTCCTAGTACCTTGGGCATCTTTAGAGCTCGGTGATAAGAAGGTTGCCAAATCTTGTTCCATTTCGCCATGGTCAAACGTTGGAGGTACCACATCGACAAACCGTCGTTATATCTGAAGTCCTAAATATAACTCCTTGTAATTTCATATATTTCCCTTGCTTCAAGCAAAAAACAACAGTTTCAAATATACTCACATGGCGCTTACCACCAAATCTTCTCAAATCAAAATCGTTTTCCATGGCCTCTGGTGCTACCCCCAGAAACTGGAAATTTTGAGGTAATAATAATATTTCAAAAATGGTGCAAATTCAAAAATTGTTCTTCCTTACCTGGAAGGGTTTGAAGAGATAAAAGTAATTCCATAAATTCTCAATGTCAGTCATAAAAAGGCAAGCAGTGTCGAAGAGTATAACCTGAAAGTAAAAAGGCGAATGTTCGTGGAAGGAATCTTAACCGACGTTGCATTGTACATTTTTTGCGGAAAGAGTGAATTCAGTTTGTGCTCAACCTCAAATATTTTTTCCCTTCATTTCACCCTAATTAGACACTCTAGAAAAGTACATCCAGTTTCCAACGAGCGCTCAAATTCAAGAACCATCTCAGCTAGAAACCTGTTGAAATTCATGATTTGACATTCCATTTCATTATGTAAAGACATAACTGTTCTTTTATTCAGTCGCTAAAGCTTTTGTAAACATATATTTTAAAAGTGGGGTTCGCAATAGACTTACCTCCACGTGGTGCACCCTGGGCAACGTATACTTATACGGCAAAAAAGTCTATCAAACCGGCTATTTGTCATATTTGACCCCTTCCATAGTACTCATCTTACTTTTTTATGCCTTTGTGTCTGTCTGTCTCTTTTACCTCTGTGAATCATTATTCTGTCTCCCAATGTATGACTTTTTGCCACTTTGGTGTTCCTCATCCTTTCTGTGAAGGATTTTTGCCACTTTGATGTTCATCTTCCTTTCTGTGAAGCACCAGTTGGATGTTCATCTTCCTTTCTGTGAAGCCTGAAGTTTCACTTTGGTGTTCCTCTTCCTTTCTGTGAAGCCCAAAGTCCTCACTTTAATGCTCCTCCTCCTCCTCACTGTGAAGCCCCGAAGTCAGCTCCAGGGCTAATGATAACCATCAAAACTCCTGCCATTTGAAATAAATAAATAAATATTTTAAAAGTGCTCCGATTCAGAAAGCCAGCTCAAAGCACGTGCACGGAAGAGTGACCTTGAGAGTCTCAGGTGGGTTTCATAGCAGAGAGTTCAATCCGGTTCCTTTGATGAAATGGTTTTATTATCTTGAAAAAAAGTTGTGAAATAAATTGCTTAAGCTAGCATCAGAAGGCCAGTTTGAAGTAAAACAGTAAAACACTGAGGTCTCTTTTATAAGTTTGAGTAGAGAGCAATCCACTTTTTCGAGCTCTTAATAGCTGTCATTTTTGAGGAAATTCATTTACTAAGTGGAAGGAAATGAGATGTATGACGAAAATTTTCTGTTCACTTGATGTTTCCTAATTCCGCACTCCGGAGACCCTTTCATAAATCTATAAAGTACCTAGGTCAAAGGACAGACCAATGGAAATGACAGGCGTTTGAAGCATTTATATACATACTTCCAGTTTCACCGCATTATTTTTAGTAAGTTAAATGGAAAATGTTGAAAATGTGCTTTAATTGACTGCTCTCAACATCATTTCATCACGAATTACCAGAAAACCCCTTTGCAAATTAATAGATTTCACACATATTCTCTTGCAATTTCTTAATTGACACAGTCTTCATGGAGTAGAAATTGGTACTCCCTACAAATTTGACGTGTGGAATTTGAGTTCACTCGTAATGGCTCCATTGAATGAATATCGATTTAAATATTCAACGTTAATGTGATTAATTCGTCAGAATTTGAGTGACGGAGGTTTCGAGCCCATCATCAAAGAATTTTAAGTTACTACTGAGTTTAATAGACTCCTAGTGACGGTACTATTAAAAATGCGTCAGACATTCATGAAAATCATCAAATTCGTTCATGTATTAGCTAAATTGTATTGAAATGGACATCATTGGTCTCTGTTAGATTGTCTTCAATGTGTCCCGAACTAAATCTAATCAGAATTGTCAAATCCCCTTTATCTAATATTCTCGAATTTTCCCATTCTTAAAATATATCTAACTGAAAAGTTGGACGAACTTGCCTTGGTAACAGTAGAGTTGAAGATTTCAGGAATATACAATTTTAGAGTCGCTGACTTTTCCGCTTGACGATGGCTCCTAATCCATTCAATTTTGGCCTACCAAAAGTTAGTTGAAGCTGTCAATAAAATGGTATCTTTAACTTCCAAAAATGGTGATATTGTTTTTATTAAGAAACCTTGTATGGCTCAGCAGGATAAAAAGTGTACCGAAGATCATTGATCCGCCAACTGCCGAGAACTCCCTCAAGGATACGCCTCGTTGAGTCATCTGTTAGAAGACGAAGGTGAATTGGTGCTGCCGCCATTCCGACTATTTCAAAGTGGTGGAAAATCAGGCTCTTCAGGAAGAGAGTGTGAAATCGTACTGCTCTTGACCCAATGACAATTTGCATCACATTGATTGCAGTTGGATCTCTATCGCGTATATCTCCGTCTAGCATATTCTGAGGGAGTCGAAACAATTTCGTTTAAAGTAGGGACAACACTAAAATCAATTTAAGTATAATATTTATTTCAGGTGGCTCTCGTTATGATAGGTATCATTAGCCCTTTAGTTGACTTCGGGGTTCACAGAAAGGAAGATTAACATCCAAGTGGCAAAAAGTCGAGACGGGGACAGAATAATGATTCACAGACGTAAAAGAGACAGACAGAACAGAAGAGCGTTTCACAGACGTAAAAGAGACAGACAGGCACAAAGGTAGAAAATAGATGAGGTGAATACTGTGGAATTATTCGCATATGAAATGCAATGGGGTCATGGTAGTTTGAAGTCAGAAGTCAACTACAATGGGGTCATGGTAGTTTGAAGTTAGAAGTCAACTGCCTTTAATAGACTTTTTTGCCGTATGAGTATACGTTGCCCAGCGGTTTATAGACTTTTTGCCGTATGAGGTCTGTTGCCCAAATATGACATACAGTGGGGTCATGGTAGTTTGAAGTCAGAGGTCAACTGCCGGTTTATAGACTTTTTGCCGTGTTAGGGTTAGATCAACTGCCGGTTTATAGACTTTTTTGCCGTATGCGCATACACAATGACATACAGTGGGGTGATGGTAGTTTGAAGTGAGAAGTTGTGACATATAGTGGGGTGAGGGTAGTTTGAAGTCAGAAGTCCACTGCCGGTTTATAGACTTTTTGCCGTATGAGTATACTTTGTAACATACAGTGGGGTCATGGTAGTTTGAAGTCAGAAGTCAAGGCATACAGTGGGGTCATGGTAGTTTGAAGTCAGTGGTCAACTATACAGTGGGGTGATGGTAGTTTGAAGTGAGAAGTCAACTACCAGTCAATAGACTTTTTTCCGCATAAGTATACGTTGCCCAGGGTGCACCACATGGAGGTTGTAAGTACACGTTGCCCAGGGTGCACCACGTGGAGGTAGCCGTATGATGAGTATACGTTGCCCAGGGTGCATCACGTGGAGGTAAATCTATCCCACACCTCATTTAAGTATAATATAAAATGTTAAAAGAGTATATAAAGTAGCACCGAGCTGTGCTATGTTGAATATAGTTGTTAGTCTCTAGTTGCAACATGAAATAGGTGACGGATAGGGAGAATAGAGTGCTGAAGCATCACAAAATTACGCTTTCTCAAAAGGGAGTACAGACAACTCGAATTGAGTACAACTCAAAATCCCGCACACACACAAAACCTGTTGGATTTGATTACTGTTTCCCCTATCCAAGGGCTTTCCTTTGTTTTAAACTTATTCAAGTTTTTTTTCTGTTCAACTTGCAAAAATACTAATAGTAATAATGACTATATGGAAATAAATCCATTAGTGGTGTGAATTAAAAGGAAATCACTTTAAAAACAAGTATGATTAGCGCTAGTGAGTCTACCTGGATAGCTTCCAGCCTTTGAAATGCAAAATTTTACATTTCCTTCCAGGGTTTAAAAAATTAATCTATTTTCAATCAATAAAATTCCTGGTAAGAGTTATTTGTCCAAATGTTTGAGTACTGGAACCACTTTAGGCCTTTTCCAACAGCTTTCGAAGCACCCAGATTAATGATCAAGTCGATAATTGAATTTGGCGTCCAGAGTTTCAGAATTCTAGAATTGAGGTAGGTCACGTTTGCCAATACTGATATTCGTTGGACCCGTTTTCAATTCGGAAGATAATGATATAACTGAGATGTTTGTGTTAGCAAATCCTGATTTGAAAATTCAACTTGAGACAGCGTCTGGCACCTGAACCGTAAAGAATTAGGAATCTCGTTCTCTATCCCTCCTCTCCTTGTGACACCAAAAAATCGCCTCTTCATATTGTCAAGAAGTTGATTACCCAGAATATAGAGGTCATGTGGGGAACACAATAAGGAAACCATAGACCTAGTAGAGGAGTACTGAGTGACGTTTCTGGAAGCAATAACTGTTGCTGCTACAATATTGACAAAGAGAAGGCCAATAATGCTGTTGTAGGTTGGGTAGACTTAATTGGAATAGCTCCAGGAAAATTGAATATGAATTCTCTGGAACAAGGTAAGAGATTCATTGGATGGGTCCAGCAAAATTTAGCTAATTTAATGCTCAATGGTCACTTGTCCGTAGAAGACCAAATAATCACCCACCAATTAGCTGAGAGATTAGCTGCAAATTCTTAAAATTCCTCGCCAAGTAGAAGACATATGAAAATTGTGTTTTATAAGACGTTAAATTAATTATTGATCCTTAAAAGTTTAGTCTCAATTCGGTAATGAAAGAATAACAAATCAAAAGAATACGAAAATCTTCCTGTACGAGAACTTGTTTTAATTTTTAAAATTTACTCCACATATTTAAAATGAAATACACTGACGAATGCTATAGATCATGAAAGTAACATAGTTTTTTTGATATCACTCAAGAAAATGCCAAACGTCAGTTCGTTGCGGTTTCCACCAGCCTTCCATTCAAGGAGTATTTTCAAGTGGCAAAGTGTTTAAATTAAAAATAATCGGGAAGAAAAATACGTCGATTATTTTCTTGTTTGCTTACCAGAATGGGGTGTGCGATAGACTTACCTCCACGTGGTGCACCCTGGGCAACGTATACTCATACGGCAAAAANCCCCCCCCCCCCTCTCGACTTTTTGTTGCTTTAATGTTCCTCCTCCTCTCTGTTGAGCCCTAAGTCAGCTAAATGATGTTATTAAAATTGGGGTGTGCGATAGACTTACCTCCACGTGGTGCACCCTGACAAGGGGTGTGCGATAGACTTACCTCCACGTGGTGCACCCTGGTGGGTGTGCGATAGACTTACCTCCACGTGGTGCACCCTGGGAAACGTATACTCATACGGTAAAAAGTCTATTAACCGGAAGTTTGTGTGCGATAGACTTACCTCCACGTGGTGCACCCTGGGCAGCGTATTTTCTTACGGCAAAAAAGTCTATCACTCGGCTTTCGTTATATTCATACGGCAAAAAGTCTATTAACTGGCAGTTAACTACGATAGACTTACCTCCACGTGGTGCACCCTGGGCAACGTACTTTCTTACGGCAAAAATTCTATCACTCGGCATTCGTTTTTCAATAGACTTACCTCCACGTGGTGCACCCTGGGCAACGTATATTCATACGGCAAAGTCTATTAACTGGTAGTTGACTTCTCCGCATACGGCAAAAAAGTCTATTAACCGGCAGTTTTCTTCTCACTTCAAACTACCATGACCCCCCTATATGTCCTACATTCTCATACGGCAAAAAAGTCTATTAACCGGCATTTGACATGACTTCAAACTACAATCACCCCACTGTATGTCAAATTCGACTACTTGACTTCAAACTACCATCATCCCACTCTATGCCATATTCGTAAATTCGACCACTTCAACAGTACTCATCTTACCTTTTCTCTTCGACTTCTCACTTCAAACTACCATCACCCCACTGTATGTCAAATTCGACCCCTTCCACAGTACTCACCTCACCTTTGCTCTACTGTCGACTTCTTCCACAGTACTAACCTCACCTTTTTTCTACCTATTTCTCACTTCAAACTACCATCACCCCACTGTATGTCATATACCTCTGACTTCAAACTACCATCACCCCACTGTATGTCATATTTCACCACTTCCACAGTACTCACCTCGCCTTTTTTCTACCTTCAGTTGACTCTCAACTATCGGCAAAAAAATTCTATTAACCGGCAGTTGACTTCTGACTTCAACGCAAAAAGGTCTATTAACTGGCAGTTGACTTCTCACTTCACAAAAAAGTCTATTAACCGGCAGTTGACTTCTGACTACTCAAACGGCAAAAAAGTCTATAAACCGGCAGTTGACTTCTGACTGAAAAGGTCTATTAACTGGCAGTTGACTTCTGACTTCAAATAAAAGTCTATCAATCGGCAGTTGACTTCTCACTTCAAACTAAAGTCTATTACCTGGCAGTTGACTTCAAACTACCATGAGTAAGTCTATTAACTGGCAGTTGACTTCTGAGTTCAAACTATCATGACCCCAAGTCTATTAATCGGCAGTTGACTTCTGACTTCAATTACCATGATCTATTAACTGGCAGTTGACTTCTCTATGTCATATTCGAAGTCTATAAACCGGCAGTTGACTTCAAACTATCGGCAAAAAAGTCTATTAATCGGCAGTTGACTTCTCACTTCCAACTACCACTACCCCCCTGGTTGTCATATTCGACCCCTATCATAGTACTCACCTTACCTTTTTCTCTACCTTTGTGTCTGTCTGCCTCAACTTTCTGCTACTTTGATGGACCTTCCCTCTGTGAAGACCGAAGTCAGCTAAATGGCTAGTGATGACTATCAAAACGCCTGCCATTTGAAATAAATAAATTGCTTACCAGAACTTCATATGAAGCCAAATTCTGTTTGACATTGCTGCGCTTGCGTCGATAGATGATGACTGTCAGTACGCACAAGAAGAGGAGCACGTGGGTCAATTTTATTTTTAACCTGAAATTGAAGGGCAATATTATTTTTGCAGTGGAAAAAATGTTTCATGGTATCAAAAGGCTTTCCTCAATACCACTCAGATATAGAGGTGGAATAGGAACTTGTACGTCATCATTAGGCCTTTAGCTGACTTCAGGCTTAGCAGAGGAAGAGGGGGAACATCAAAGTGACAAAAAGTCGAGATAGGGGGGGGGGGGGGGGGGGGGGGGGNGGGGGGGTGGGGGTGGACAGAACAATGATTCACAGATGTAAGGCGAGATCTGATGAAATGATGGAATATGGCATACAGTAGAGTCATGATAGCTTGAACTCAGAAGTCAACTGCCAGTTTATAGACTTTTTGCCGTATGAGTTTACGTTGTCCAGGGTGCACCCCGTGGAGGTAAGTCTATCACACACCCCCCCCCCGGAACATGAACATGAAAATTATCAAAAGTGGATTGAAACCGGGTTATTGTCTTAACAAATTGATAGTCAGCTTTTTTAAGTAATAAATTGTGCAATAAATCACCTTCAAACA